ACATCAATCGGGAAGGTCATCAAATGATTTTTGCAAGTTAACTGGTCCGGAAAATACAATATTCCGGACCAGTTAACTTGAACAAATCATTTGACGACCTTCCCTATTGAATTTTTTGCTGAAATTTGGTATGGATGAACTAGACTTGATGAGGAACACACACAAAAACTTTGAGCAAACAATACCACCGGGAAGGCCCTCAAAAGGAGGAGGCCGGACGGTGCTCCGGTCAGGAATTTCCTGACCGGAAGATTACTCTCTCTCTCTCTCTCTATATATATATATATATATATATATATATAGAGAGAGAGAGAGAGAGAGAGAAGATCATGTGAGAACTTTTAACCAATAAATCATAACTTATAGACCCCCTCCAAAAAAATTACGAAAATGCCACCGCGTCAAAATAACTCTAGAATCCTGGAAAAAAAAATTTGACGCGGTGGCATTTTCGTAATTATTTTTGAGGAGGTCTATAAGTTATGATTTATTGGTTAAAAGTTCGTGGTTTTTGCTTATAAGTTAACTTCGCAGCTTCTCAGCCTAAGGGCACTTCTCACCTGATCCGCTCCCTAAAAATCAGGTGAGAAGTGCCCCTTAAAATGAGAAGTGAGAAGTAATCTTAGCCCTTGGATTTGCATCTAATCTTACAACGAAGTAAACTTATAGACTAAATATATGAACTTATAACCAATAAATCATAACTTATAAAGCTCTCCATAATAATTACGAAAATGCCACCGCGTCAAATGTTTTTCCAGGTTCCCGTAATTATTTTTTGCGGTGGCATTTTCGTAATTATTTTAGAGGGGTTATAAGTTATGATTTATTAGTTAAAAGTTCCTATATTTAGTCTATAAGTTCAACTTCGCAGTTCTTAGCCTAAGGGCACTTCTCACCTGATCCGCTCCCTACATATATATATATATATATATATATATATATATATACACTTCGTATATACATTTTATTTAAAAAAAAAAGTGAGGGGGAGTCAAACCCTGCCTTAAAGGCGCGCATGCTACCATTTCTCTGCTTCAGCAATTCGATATCTAAGTTGCGTATGTTTTATACTTCTTATAAACATGTCATATATAGGTAAATTTTATAAAATATATGTAATACATATAGGTAATTTTTTTGAAATCCACGGGTCCCAGGACCTCATGGGACCCTTACTGGGTCCGCAATTGACTAGTGCAATATGAACAAAAAGACAAAAATATGACCAATTTAAATTTTAGACAAAAAAGTGACTAATTGTTCATGATTGGACAGAAACACTGCTAAATGCCTCCTGCTTCTATCATTCTCTTCGCAGCGAGCATCCAAAGGTCAAAAGCATTTCTTCAACGTTCGTCCGCTCCAGCTGCACCTCCATAACTCCATGGCAACATTCGACCGAAGCAATTGTACCACCGCCTTAACCGTTCCGCCGCTGCAATCGTTTGATCAGCGAAACCTTCTCCTTCTTTCAAATTTTTGCATCGGCGACAACAAAAAAGTTCTCCATGAGCATCGATCTTGTAAATCGGTGGTTGTACAAATCCATCAGTGACGATAGGATGCCAATGATGACAATTATAATAGATCTGGCAGAGTCCATTTTCCAGGTCTGGCGGCGATGACTTTGAGGGCTAGGTCATAATCAACGACATCGGGGCTTTCTGGTGTTGGCCTTAAGGGTTGTGAGCAATTGCGGTGAGTTGCAGACGAGGGAACAGCTGGCTTGGGCTTGGCAGTATGGGTGGGGATTGGTGATAAGTTGCAAAGTAGGAGATAAGGGGTTGTTGGGGACAACCGTGAATAGCAGACAATGGGTTGGAGTCTGGGGCAATCAATGGTGGTGGTGTTCAGCGGTGGTCACTATTGGACTGAGTAACTGTAACTAGTCGGGTTGGTTAATTGTAACTGGTCGGGTCGAATCAGATAACTATCATTGATGAGGTTGAAACGTGTAACTGTTTGGGTGGGGTGACTGTAACTGGTCAGATCGAGTAACAGCACCTGGTCAGGTCAAATCATATAACTTAAATCGGTTGGATCGAATCAGGTCACCGGGCGCGTTAGGTCACTAGGTGGGTTAGGTCACGGGGCGGTTTAGGTCATTGGTTGGATTAGGTCACTGAGCGGGTTAGGTCACTGAGGTAAGTCATGTAACTTTGAGCTAAAACTACTAGGGGTACTTTAGTAAGGCTAAAACTTATTAGTCATATTTTTGCTGATTTTTAAAAAAGGTTACTTTTTTCTGTGCTAGAGCTTCATTTTAGTACTATTGAGGGACAAACCCCAAAACTGTACTCGACAGTTATTTTATTAAAACTGTACTATTTTTGCAAATTTTTAAAAAAGTTTACTTTTTAATAAATTTATTATATTTTTTGCTATACTTTCTGGCACATGTAGTATATGACATGCTTTGCTTAATGTCACCATTCTTGATTGAGTGTGTTCTAAATATGTGACCTCATCTTTATGAGTGTCATAGTGATGTCATCGAATCACAAGGTGTTTCACATTAATAAATTTATTACATAATGTATGATTATATAATTATATTATTCACACTTTAATTAAAATATTATTCAATTTGTCTACTAATTAAATATGTAAGCAATGAGATTAAAAATATAAGTACTGCGGAATACTCAAAAATTAAAAAAAGCAATTCACATATTTTTCACTATTATAATGTTATTTACTGTTAGAATCACAATTACTAGTTTTGCTTTTAGTTTTGATTGATGGTATAAATTCACGGTCACTTTAATTTGTCCAATTAGGAATTTTATCAATTTGCGACCTGTGTGTAATATGCTTGCTTGCGGCAAACAAGGCAACATACTTCTCTCCCCAGTTGTTCAATTTTATATCAAAGAGGAAAACGACTAAATAAAGAGTTCAACCCTAAATATATATTGCTCATCTAGGGAAAGCCTATCTCCCTAAGCATTTAGGGGTAAAACTCCTTAGCGCTCCATGCGTGTTTGAGATCACGTTCTCATACGGTGTGAATGTTGATTCCTCTATTTGCATGTATTCAACTGAATATTCAAGTATTCATAGGCAAGCAATTATCCATCGTGACCAGTAATGCCTTATTACATATATCTTGATTAGTGTCAAAATCTCATAAATCTTCCATCGTCGAAATAGGAGTTTGTTTTCCATTCTCCGAAGTGTGGCCTGGGAAAGAAAACCTCGAGGAGTCGGCCTCCTCATCTTCACCACATGAAAAATCCAATTGCACTAAAAGCCAATCAATTGGGGCTGCTTTGACTCCAATTTTAAGCTCAGCACCTCTCTTGACAACACCCCTCTTATGACTATCTCAATGTTCATCTACAAGCATATCTTTATTTGTTTGTTCATTATTCACTTTTTGACTTTCAATTAGGTGTTTAATGACTCGCTCATATTCGTTGGATAGGAAAGTTGGTAGATTAGCAACATTCGGGTTCATTGTATCCTGGAGAAATAATTTCAACTCTAAAATAGAAGAATCTAACGCAACACAAATGCGAGAAGAATCAAATGAGGTAGTTGTCTCGGGAAAGCCCAAAGTATAGACAATATTTCCTGAATACACTAAATCAGCTTGCATTAAGGCATCGGAGATAGTAAGCTTCTTAGTGTCTACGTAATTCCCGTTCATACGATCAATAACAAGATTAACTATCTCAATATCTTAACAACCAATCTCATTCAAATTTTGTTGTGAATGTGCTTGTTGATAAAGTTTATCTTGTTTGATGGACGAGATTCTAAAGGACGACATTCTACTAAATAGGATAGAGTTCAAATATAAAAAATTTGGAGTTGTAACTTCTAATGTTGAATGATGTAGCTTATCATCGAACAATAAATATATAGACCCACATATATGTTATTCACTTCGTTCATATTTTATATCCCATTAATTTATTCTTATACCACATTAGGTACTATGTATTTCTAATTCATTCTTATTTTTATTAATACTTTATCAACTCAATATCAATCATATAACTTTTGATAGAGTATATGAGTACATGCCCACAACCCACACACTCACAAACTTGTACAAGCTGCCCAAACAAGCAACAATATTACATCCTCAGCTAGGACCCTCGTTTGATGAGGGGCACCCGTAAAAGCCACAAAGGACTACAAGAGTATACTGAGCAGACACCTCTCGTCCCGTCTTCCTTTAGCAATTCATCTCTGACCAGGTCTCCAATAGATACAAGAGGAAGGTAACAGTGCAAAGGAACGACAACAAGGACGAGGAACATTAGTCCCTCGTCCTCGACCACCTAGCTCGTCCGGCCACTACTCAATAGTTACACGTGTAGGGCTTGATTCCTCAACCTTGTAGCGCTTCGCCCATAGAGTTTACACGTGTAGATACGTTGAATGTACTTAACATTTACCACTAGTATAAATACCTCTTTTGAGGCAGATGTAACATACAGTACGAAAATCTAGTTATCATATGTTTTACTTTCTCTATACTAAGTTGTATATCTCTTTTTATACCAATAGCTATATTACGGTGAGTTATCAACTTCACTTTTCTTAATAATTATATTACACCAATTCCTCACGTCAGAATCTTAATGAGACATAGATAGTAATACACAATTAAATACACATTTTATGTTAGATATTTTGAGACACAAACGTAAATCTTAATATCAATGACTTCAACAACCCAATATGTAAACAACATCCTTCATTTTTCTTCATTTCATTCTCATATTTTCTCTTATTTTACATCGGTCAACAGAGGTTTGTCATTTTCATTTTTTAGTGAATTAATTTTTGACCAATATTTTACTCCGTAATGAATACGGAGTATATTTTAATGAAACATGTAGGAAGTAAATTTTATACTTCAAAGACAACAAGTTTGACTAATGAACATTTTTATGTGATAATTCATTTTATATAAATATATTATACTCCGTATATATCATTGGTAAAAGTTCGAATATTTCAGAACAACATTGTGAATTTGTGACAGGTAGTATATATCTGTATCCATTCAAAATCACATTTATAAGAGAAACAAAAAATGACCACACTTCAATCCAAAGGTAAAAACAAAAAGGAGGAGAAAAATTAAAGTGAGGAATGGAAAGAATGACCAATACATAATACATTTACACATATACACATTCAGTAAAACAAATATACATAAATCAACCCATCAGCTTACATGAAGTTACATTTGTAGATTTTCATGGTGGCCGGAAGAGAAGATGTCAAGTTCCGCCCACCAGAGGGGAGAGAATCTCGGGCCTGCAGCGGCCGGCGAGACATGAATGACTTCCTTCAATTTTGAAACAACTTCATCGATCGTTGGTCTCTTCCTTGTGTCTTTTTCGGTGCATTCTTGGATTACCTCACATACAATCAATAGCTGGTTATCCTTGTGGGACTCCAATGTTGGATCAATTAATTCCGCCATATTTTGCTTGTCATTCAAGTAAGATGAAGCCTATATAAAAAGGCCACAAATATGTTACATATTTGAATGAACTCTTAAGAGCATGTTTAGTAACAATAAGTATGCAAAAGTAAATGAATCTGTTGAGTGGTGAAGTAATTATAATTAAATTATATTTTAATACTAAGAAATAAATTTCTTCTTCCATTGTTAACGAATTAGGCACGTGAAAGTAAAAATTAATTTTTGGTTAAAAAAAAAGGTTTTTTAATCCAACAAAGGATCGCAAAAGCCAATCTAAATTAAAGAGTCATTTCTAACAAATAAGTACTCGAGTGTCAAGTCATTTAACTGAACAAATATTAAAAAGACCAAGTAGACTATAAAACCTTTGGTTAATCATTTCAACAAGATGCAACATAAACTTAATATTGGGGGAAAACGTACCCATTGTAGAATTGGGCCTTGCTCTTCGGAGTAAGGTAGCTTTCCTGATATTATTTCCAACAGCGCAAGTCCAAAGCTGTAGATATTGGCTTCTGGTTCTGCAGGTGGCGGTAGATCAGAGTGCTCCTCGTTATCTCCGACCTTTGACTTGTTAGTGAATTCTGCCCAAAATTCAACCTCTGCAATCTGTGAGTGAAGAAACCATAACTTAAATTCGAAACATCGTTGCTGGGATTAAACTATATGATCTTGTGTGTCTCAACTAAAAGATTACACTCCCATAGTTGGACTTCACTTTTATTATTTATATTAGACTTCAATATGTTTTTAGTCCCTCTAAATATAAGATTTTTTATTTAGATCTTTGTAAACATAAGCCTAAATCAAAGACTATACTTGCTAAGACCAAAAGGATATGTAAGCTAATGTGTTATTATGTCTCTAATTGTCGGGGAAATACGAACCTTAGCAGCATAATCATCCGTCAAGAGTATGTTACTACAAGTGATGTCAGGATGAGACAGGGGTGGATTCAGATTGTGCATGTGTTGCAGACAATATGCGATTCCCATGACAATTCTCATCCTCACATTCCAGTCAAGATGTTCAAGTTCTTTATCTGAAGTCAACAACACATGTGAAAAGCAAAAATGAATGTTGTTTTTTTTTACAAAATGGTTGAGATTATAATTTCCAGGAGTGACTAAGTTTTACCATGGAGATGCTCAGAAAGAGTTCCATTTGGGGCATATTCAAATACCATCATCCTAGTAAAAGGTTCATCCTCCTCACAGTACCCTATGAGGTTTACGAAGTTCTTGTGGTTTATCCTTGAAAGAGTGTCAATCTACAAAGGAAAAACACACAACAGTCAAACATCTACTTCACAAAGTCAGAACTTTTGTCACATGTCTAATTGTTGAATACATTTAATTCATACTTGGGTCAAAACCTCCCAAATGAGATGGTTTACACAGTCCAAAACTTTATATGTAAGTATGACTTGTTGCAGCATTTTTTCTTTGAAAATGGATAAAATGAATTAATGACTAATGAAGGCCTAATTGCTAATTGATTCATTGTATCATTAACAATTTCTTTATTTTGTTACGTTTTGTTACGAGGGATTACTAATGAATCCACTCATTTCTGCCGCTTCCCTTATATACTAAATGTTAAGATTTCATTTTAAAATGCCAATAGTATAAGAGCAACGACAAAAAGCTTCATATAGGTATTTTTGAAATTATACATAGTAAATGATTGGTGTAGCAGTGTAGGATGCCTTAACCACATTAAAAGATTGAATCTAATCGATTAGCTAATCAGCCTAGTCTAATCTAAGGTCTTATATTCTCATATGTACTTCCTTAAAATTTATATGTGGGACTCTAAACTTCTGTCAACTAACCTTCTTCCTGAAGGTCATTTCGGCGCGCTTAGACCAATCTTTTAGAGAAGTGATAGTAGTAGAAACAACTGCAATCTCTCCTTTACTCGATAAAGTTCCCTTATAGCAAGTGAGAGCATCATTTGCACATATGATGTTGCTAAAATCTTCACATGCTGCTTCTAACTCGGCTCGGTTAAGTTTTGGAACTCCTACAAATTTGTTTAGAAAAATTGTTAACAACTCCTCGTGTCGGTAAATCATCTATGTGTTCTCAAATTTACATACAGAAAACAAATCACTCAATTGTGATTGGACTTTCTCATGAATATACCTGTAATGAACGCTTTTTGCAATTGTCCACTCAATCCAGTCTTCCAAGGGCCAATGGTTCTTGCTGCTCTAGTTCTCCATATATAAATAATTACCATAGCCAAAATGAACAAGAAAACTCCACATGAAATTCCCACTACATACTTCCATGTATTTTGGGATCCCCCAGAATCTTGGTTGCCCGGTTGTTCAGGAAGAACAATAGGATTTGACTTACTGTGCTTATTTTTATTAGGAGAAGGTGGAGCTGCTGGGAGTGGTGACTTCACCTTCTTTCCCTGTAAAGCAGGAAATGACCCACTGCTTCTACTGACTGGCTGAGGAGTTATGTTATCCAATTGAACCTCACCATGAATAGGAGCAGCAGCTAAGTTACTTGACTGTTCAACCAACTTTCGACGTGCCATGACATTCAGACAAGGGGAACCTGCTAAGAGTCAAAGAACATTATAGAATTGTACTATAGCAATTGATGCCCTTAACTAAGAGACAATTAGCTTAAAGTAGTGTTTCATCTCACTTGACTGGTCGTCTTCAGAGTGGTTAGAAGTTGTATGCAAAATGCCTTCCCCGAAATTGTATCTAATGAACACAATGAAGGATGTGATTCGTCTATACTAAAAGCTTAAAGTGAAATTTATATTTATAGTTATATTATAATATATTGACAAGAAGCGAAATTAACATATCATGATTATTACTCACATAGAAAAGAGATCGAGGTAACGCATAAGCATTTCTTTTATAGGTGTTAGAGAGAGATCCATTTTCTTCAATGAACTCCAACTGGAATGCCAAATACTGTCCAAAGCTTGCATCAAATTACCAGAGCAAAGTATTCCACTCAAAAATGCATGGTTTGAAAAAGAGTTTTAAAAAACATATTTTAGAAAGAGTTTGTTATCTTTACTATTAAAGAAGGAAAGTAGGAAACAATACAGTTAGGATAAATAAACTTCATTGACTCAAGCTAATAGGATGGGTCAAGAATAGTTGGAATTTTCTTAGAATAGTTGGATTCAAATAATATGTAAATGCACGGTCTCAATCTCTCATAACACCTAAGAGCTAGTGTATACTAAAGGGGGCAAAGATTCATATTTAAGAACCTATTCCTTATTGGTTATATACACACACAGTGTGTATATACATTTACATCCAAAACTTTTTGTGTGTAAGTCATCATTTTTACACGAATTAATAAGATGAGGAAGTTCAACTACAATATTGTGGATAAAGGTGCATAAATTCTTGACGTGTGATGATACATGACATTGGGGAAAAAACTCCCTCAATCTTAAAATGTATATAATTATTTGCAAGAAAATAAAGGATATAGAAATTATTTTACAATTATAATCTTGTAAAAGAAAGAAATTGTAGAATGAGTCTACAAAAATTTTAAGTTAAAACAATAGATAAAGTGAAAAGATAAAAAGTAACTAACGCTCAAATTAGGACAATGATTATAATTTCAGGACGGATAAAAAAGGATGTATATCTAACAAAATAAGAGAGAAGGGTGGGGGAGAATTATGTACCAGGACATCACAAATACAACCCCCATAAATAATCCCACACACGGAGCATATCACAATATTGAAAGTAAAACCAAAGTTAAAGGCGCCTTACCACTGCCCAAGTTTTCTATTAATGAAGCCAGCTCCTCCAGAAAAGGCAGTGGTGTGGTTCATGTCAAGCTGCAATTCAGTCAGCATCCTAAGCTTCCCAATCTCCAAAGGAATGCCTCCGTGGAACCCATTGTTAGAAAGCAACCTGGAGAAAAGTGAAAATGATGTTCAGAAGCTCAAATGTTTTTTCACTTCAGTTGCATGTGAATTTCATAGAAACTAGACGCCTTACAAGCTTCTTAGTGAATGCAAGGCACCGATTTCTGCTGGAATTTTTCCATTCAAACTGTTATCCCTTAGGTCGAGCACTTCTAGCATTTTGAGTTGTCCAATTTCCCGAGGAATGACACCAGAAAAGCGGTTCTTGGAGAGCACGCTGTTGATTCAATTCAATATGAGTCCCATAGCAAAAAGAAAAAACTTATCACAATAAGTGTTGTCAAGTTATAAGACCACAAACCACGTCATAAATCCATATTAGTATGATATATTACATTTATCCATTACACATTTATTTTTAAGTACCTCCCAAAAGACCTCATACTAATCGAGTTACGTGATTCTCCCTTATGTTTCTTAAATGGGACTTGGAATGCACTCCAACACAAGTGTATATTTTTATAATTCACAAATAAAAAATTGTAGAGCAAAAGAGCTACTTCTTACAGTGTTTTCATGTGTGTAAGATTTCCCAATTCTGGTGCGAGTGTTCCTTCCAGAGCATATCCAGTGAGATCTCTATATACAAATAGGAGACAAGTTGGCCGTAGCCGCATAAATAAATAAAATCCTAATCCAACTTTAAAAGCACTCACAAAATATGAAAATGAAAACAAGTGACTTACAAAGTTTGCACTCTACCATCAAGACAAAGAACGCCCGGCCACATGCATGGATCACAATCATCAGCACTCCAATTTAAGAAAACTCCATATGGATCATAATCTACTCTTTCTTGAAATTTCATCAAAGCAATCCCTAATTATTATGGTATAAAAAGCAAAAAACTAAAGGCATCATTCAAATTGTTAAAAACAAAGGACAACCTTCTATCTCATAAATCCCAACAACTAGTTACCTTCAGAATTAAGAGAGCAATGCCCTCGAGTGCCGAAAACAAGAGCCGAAAGTACGATATAGAAAACATGAGTTCCATGTACAGCCAATCGATCCCCCATTGCTTGCCAGACCAATGTATATAGTTGTGATTGAGGCAGTGACAGTCTCTGCCAACAGCTATGACTCTATACACAATTGCCAGCTTTTGAAAGCTTTTTATGATAAAAAAAAATAACTCTCCGAGCAACGGTTGTTACTCGGACAGAATGGTAACAACAAAGATGGAAAGGTAAAATAATAAAAAAATTTGTGGATACAATTTCTTATTTCCTACCACAAACACATTAAATTAAAACAAAAAAATAACATTAGCTGCTTCCAAACCAGCCATGAAATTTGGGCCTCTTATTGTTCAAGCAGCGCAACAAGCCAGGGGATGAATCATTAAAGTTTCTCCAAGATTCAATTTTTACCAGCAAAACTGTTCATAAAATGATAGATATTAGGAATTATTGCTTCTTGAGACTAAATAAACCAAATAACACGAGAATAAGATAATGATTTTAAACGATAAAGAAAATGCAAATATATTATCATACTAATCAATATCATATTCACAATCAATATATCTAGGAAAGTAAAAATAAGAAAAGGAAGAGGCAAATGAGATGATATAACTAACCCAGAATGGGGCAGTCAAGGAATGAGATGAATTGTTCTTCTTTTGCTGCTTGTTTTTGCCTATGTGGAAAATTTCCCGAGTTCTTGAAATTCAAAGTTTCAAGAAAACGCAATACTTGAATAGAGAATTATGGCGAGGCTCCAAAAGGCAGCTAAAGAAAAGGAACCCAATCAAACAATTAGGATGAAATTATGGGAATTCAGGAATCGACAAACATTCATGTGTTCTTTTCGAAACTTTTTGTAATTAATGTTCTTGTTCTTTGACTGCCCCTTTTTCAGGAAAAAAACTCAGAGGACCTTCTCTTCTTCGACCATCTCCTTCTCTGAAAGTGGGGAAGAAGAGGGTGAAAAGCTTTCCCTCTCTTGTTTTTCTTTTCTATAAATGTTCTTTTTGTTTTTTTGATTTCCTTCAACTTTCTCTCTCTAAAATCGCAGCACCTCAGCCACCGCCCCACAACAAGATGTGTTCTTCCGAGTTTTTCCCACTCTTTCCTGAATTTTGTATTTCTGTTGAAGCTCAACGCTCAATATATTTCCTGAATTTCTACAATATTTATTTTTATTGACACAAATTTAAACTGGTTACACATTTACAAATTACTTTTCCTGAATTTCTATAATAAATATTTATTTTTATTGACACGAATTTAAACTGGTTACACATTTACAAATTACTCCGTACAATATTCTTTTAGGGCTGAGCACAGGTCCAAGACCGGATCGAAATCGGTTGGACCAGCACCGGAATTCTCACAAAAAAAGGACCGAAGACCGGACCTATATAATTCTGGTCCAGGACCGGACCGGATTGGATTATTTTGATATTTCCGATCCGGACCGGTATTTGACCGGATTTTTAATATTATTATTTTTACAATGTTTCATCTTTAAAAAATAGTTTTGATTGTCCAAAAAATTACTTATTAGCTCGTTGTTTCTCTTACAAAGTATTATTTTATGATATATATATGCGATTATTTCTAATTTACTCTTTTATATGTATGTTTAGCAACTTTATGGCTCTTTTAATTAATATAATATACATTATAATACATCAAATAAGTCATAGAAATAAACACATAAATTATATCTAGTGGAAATTTGAAAATTTTGTGATTCAGTCTTGAACCTGTTAAATTTTATGCATGATCATATTAGTACAAGAAACCAATGTTCCTTGCTCGATTAATTTAGTGAATGATTTGACTCAATACATATGCGAATTTAACAAAGAAGAATTCAACTAATCACGCTATGTATTATGGTTAAAACAAGTAAAAATAAGTAAATACAATGAAGGGGGTAGTTCATCTACATTGTGTAAAGATACTAATGAAGGGGGTTTGTATTTAATCAATTTGTCATTTAGATCATGAAGAAGTCTTTCTCCTAAGATAGAACTGTCTGCACACACTTTTTGTACGCCCACCAGTAGTGACAGAAGCACTCAGAGATGTTAGAGGGGAACATAATGGAAAAGGGAAGGTCTCCGGCAACGCGGCAAGGCATGCGGCCTGCTGCGCCCCTGGAATTCCGTTCTCCAGCAAGGCGGGCGGACAAAAAGAAGTATTGAAGAGGTTGCAGTGCCGAATATATATACTAGTATTTAATTTTTTTACAAAAGAAAAAAAATATGTATTTTAAAGAGGGAACACACAATATGTTACATTTTGGCACAAGAAACTAAATACAAAACAATCAAAGAACCTATAAAGGCTAGAATAGAACTAAGATATGTATAATTGTAAACATAACATTAAAAGAAATTAAACCAGCAAATCCATTATTACAATACATTAAAGAATTTATTAAACGAGAATCATAATCAATACACTCCACAATAAAAAGTACGGAGTAATAGATTTCCACACAAAATTAACAAATTATAAAATTGGATTAATAATGAATTAACTCCACAATAAGCTTGCACACAAAATTAACAATTTATGAAATAAAAATAATATGGAGTAATAAATAAACTACACAAATACACAATAGGTTTAACAACTTACACAAAGTGGGAAAGAGAAAGGTTGCAAGTCCGGCGGCGAGATGAATGATCCTGCATGTCAGGCCGGTCTTACAGGATTTTCCACCCGTCTGCCTCCATTTTGAGGTGCTTCCATGTTGAAATTTTGATAAAATTTTGTGATCATGTTCTCTATGAAATGTAGATTATGTGCACCAAATTTCACCTCAAATTTCAATCGAAAAGTCAGACAAATAAATTATTGAAAAACATTGCGCCAATGGCTATTAATTACAAGGTTGCATTTTTGTAATTATTCAAGATTAATTGAAAACAAACATATGAATTTAGGGTAATTATGAATGTGATCTCATGTGAATCTTAACCAATGATTGAAATAAATGAAAGGTAAGGATTAAAAGTTCTCATTTTAAAGAATTCTTATTTTAGGATGAGTTCTCACTAGAACTCTCATCCACACACACACACACACACACACACACACACACACAAACACAATGTTATTCAATAATATATTTAACTGACTTTCAGATTTAAACTTAATCTGACACTTTATGGACGTAGCACATAATTAATGAAGAATGATGTGAGTTTTCTCGCACTAAAAATATGTAGTAATTAAGGGTGAAAGTACAATTATCGTCTCCACATAGACGGAGAAAGAAAATAAGGAATTAACTAAATTCAGCGATTAAAATAAATAAAATAAAATGCAATTGTTCGAGATTGGTTGGTTGGAAAATTAAAATGCAACTACATACACGAATAAAAAGTTTGGTTTTTTCTAATTAAAGATGGAAGGGAATATGGATTGATTCCGGGTAATCAGATTTATGGTTAATCAGGCTTAATCACATTATAATTATTTAATTGAGCAACGCTAATCAATACCAAGTTCTAACCGCTCCCGCGGTGTAGAGTGCAATAATTTAGGGAACCAGACTGATCTCTCATGCGACAGGTATCTAAATTATTGCCAAAACGAGCGAGCGTACGGCACCTTAATCGTTACTAATCTATTATCGAAAAATTAAGTGTGTGTGAAGGTGTCCTAGAATAAATTAGATCTCTCTTAATTTATTCTACATGCAATTATAATCCTAGCTGCAGTTCTAGGTTACAAGAGATATCAATTAAATCATTCGAACACAAATTAAATAACATTCATGCAATTAATCCATCATGAAATTAACCCAGATCACAATTAACCCCTTCATCAATCCCAAATCCCTAATTAAAACTACTCACAATTCATAATTATTGAATTAACAATAGAATTAGGATGAAAATAATTTATTGTCATTCACTAAAAAGATGGAACTTACAAATAATCCCAACGTCTTGAAGAACAAAGCGGAAAAATATGTATAAAAACCCGTCCATAGGCTTCTCTCTAAGCTCCGTAATCAAAACCAGGGGTTTACATGCTATTTAAATAGAAAAGGAGCAATTCTGGACTAAAAAGGGACATCTGGGGGCAAAAAATGACGGGCACTGCGTGCCTCCCTGGCAGGCACGGCGTGCCTGACCCCAGTAGCCCATGCGTGAATTCTTCTTTTGTGCACGGCGTGCTCAATTTGGGCACATGGCGTGAGTCTTTCCCTTCCTAATTGAACTATGTTTCTTTCACAAAAGTTGTAGATATGAAGTCTTCTATCTACCTCAACTTGCAAAACTGAGATTGAACCATCCAATCAAAAGATATGAATAAAATGGTGGAAGGTCACATCCTGAAATCTCAACAGTGATTATCTGACATCCTCGTCTGTTTTCACCTTGCTCCTCTCAGATTCTCATCTTGGTTTTTCATATGGATTGTATCCCTTTGAAGTTAGATTTCATATTCAACTTGTACTTTGGATGTTTCAACTTGAATCATGTATTTTGGATGTTTTTACAAAAAAGATATGTGTGAACGATTGGCAGAACGTCATCCTGATCGTCATTTTCAAGCTCTATTCGTCTTCGTTTGATCTCGTACTTGATCCTTGAGCTCATTTGACTTCAAGATCAATCCTTTAATGAATCTTGGACCTTCAATGTTTCTCAATAACTCTCAAATGTGTCTAGATTCCTCCCGATTAATTCTCCAATGCCGGTGTCGGGCTTAGTTCCCCGATTTTCACTCTAAAACACCACAATGACACCAAAATCGGGTAAACTGTGATTTGAGTTAATTATGATCCTTGTGACATATTTAAGCTAGGAAAACTATCAAAAACCGATCTCAATACGCATCAAACGCGTGTTGAAATACGGACTTATCAAACTCCCCACACTTAATTTTTGCTTGTCCTCAAACAAACTAAACTTCGGGACTTATGATAATCACCACACGACATTAATAATCATCAGCATGCACGGGTAGTCAAAGGTATATTCATTAAAAAGACAGGATAATTTAAGTAAATTCTTCCCTAAACTACCTTTTTTTACTCTGGCTAAAATGAAAATTTATCACAACATCCTTGAAGTTTTGGCCGCATACATAATTGAACTAGCTACTGATCAGAAGGACTTGTGAAGGTAGCGGTGAATGGTGAAACAATCCCTTTCTTTGAGAGATTGGAACAACCTGATAGTGACTCAATGTATTCGGAAGTTTCAGTACTATTTTGTGGAAGCGGTTCAACCCAGCTGATCGCTGAATCACTCTCCCTTACGGGAGGTCTCGGGTTTGAAACTCAATACAGTGAGTTTCAGCCTAGATTACTCCAGCCTCCCCAACCCCCCCTCCCACAGACGCCTCCTAGAGTTATAAAAAACACTAATTAGGAACTATCATCTATCTCTATGCACGGATACAACTAAGCTAAATGATAGTATAGAATTGTTTTTTGGATGATAGTATAGAATTGTTATTATTTATGTTTGTAATTTTAACTAGTTTTATTTGTTGTTTGGGAAATTACACACTTTTGGTGTAATACTTCATTTTTCCTGTTTGTTTGTAATTTGTTTAGATTACGATCATTCTGAGCTCTAACTAGGTAAAGATCATCAAAAGGATCTTTGAAAGGTCAAGGAAAGTTCAAGGGAACAAGATAAAGTGAAGATTTGGGAAAATATTGAAATACCCGGTCGGGTAAAGCATATACCCGATCGGGTATTGACTTGACCCGAAGATCAAAACTGATTTGGAGACAATTAGACGTGCATGGTGAAGATTTGGCAAAGATTTGTCTTTTACCCGATCGGGTATATTTGACTAGTGAAGCTTCTGGGCTATTTCTCAGGATACCCGATCGGGTATTTCAAATACCCGGCCGGGTAAATGACCCTGACACCTCCAAACACCTATAAATACACCTCTTTTCCTTCTCATTTGATCACCAATTCCTATACACTTCTAACCTCAGTTTAGTTAAGTACTTTCTTTATATTTTGGGAGAATTTGACTTTGCACCCCACTTTTTGGGTGATATTGGACTTTGCACCCCATTTTAAAAAACATTAGACT